AGTTGTTTCTCGTGAAAGCCAACAAAAATGTTAACTATCAGAGGTCCCAATGGACTACCCATCGCCACTCCATCTATCTGTCAGTACATACAATTTTTGAAGCTGAAGGAAACAGACAGTAGCCATTTCCATCAACTCAACAAAGACAACCTCAGCAAAAGATGGAGGTTTTGTGGGACCACAGTACAAAAAGTCAACACAAATATCAATCGTTTCATCAAGTGGGACATTTTTGAACAAATTAGAGATATCAAAAAACACAAAATACTCAATGCTGAGATACAATTTGCACATATAAGCAGCAAAATGAAATGAGTCAGGCACACAATACTCTGAATAGAATACTAAAACAGGATCAAGGACCCCAATAAGCCACCTAGCCACCTTTGTCAGGTCTGGTAATATATATATATGTATATATGTTTTTAAAAATTTGGCTGTTTGAACATGGTTCTTCTGCCAAGAGAACCCAAGAGAATTGATAGACCAGTGAACAAAATTATATGCTAAGTCTTTCAGACGAGTTTTCAGATAAAGCAAATGCTCCTCAGAATTAGGCAGATGTTAACTAACTGGGAAAAGAGCATTTCCTTATGACTAAATACCTTGATTTTCTCAATTTTCTTAGGGAGAACATAAAAATCCAAACCCTGGGATAGGACCAACTTATCAGAATCATACAAAGATAGATTTAAGCCAGTCTGTAGCAATGTAAGAACCTGGTACTATTACCAACAAAACGTTACCTTTAGACAGATATTTAGAAAACCAAATCTTTTCAAGAAGAGATAATGCGTGCCAGATGGTGCCCCATACTGCTCGATACTGGGCTCTCACAGTTGAGTACCTCAGAGAAATTCAGGATTTTGTCTCAAAGTAAAGTTCCCTCAATACTATTAGTATTGCAACACTTAATCTTTGAGATGCGTCAAGCAATGCTCCCAGGATTAACATAATTTTGAGAAGAAGAATTCAAAAACTTAATTTTATAGGAAAGGGACTGTACCTTGCCTCTTGATCATGAGAAAATTTCTTGGCTCAATTAAGAAAGAATAACAAAAAAAAAAAAAAAAAAATCTGATGTTAATTCATTTTGTTAGCTTCTGAGAAGTGTGTTAGACTGGGATTTTTTTCAGTACTACCATATATATATATATATATAATTATTTATAAAAAAATTATAACATAAATATGTTATAAAATCACTACAAAAATAGCCATTTTGTTTCAACACCCTCGGTGTTTTATCAAGTGATGATGTTGAAGATAAAATAAATGGTTTTATATATCTATATAAAGGGAAGAAGTTATATTAGTTTCAACGAGAGAAAAGTGTGTATAATAAAAAGAAGAGAGGAACCGCAAACGTTTTTGGTTGTAATGTGGATTTTTTTTTTTTAAAAGCATATTATGCTTTATTTTCCATAACTTGGGACCTTCATCAGGCAAAGCGTGGAGATTTCCACATATTATTAAAAATAATTAATTTTTTTGTTCTTTTTTTCTTATGTTTTTTGATGTTAAATATTCTTGATATGAGACATTCTCTTTTTTGTGTGCTAGTGACTCAAATGTCTTCCTGAATTGGCAGTGAAAAAATTTCTGCGTGAAGAGTTATAAAATAATTAAGACTGGTCCAAAAAATGGTGAAGGAGTTATCGGCATTCTTATCTTTAATGACCCCTGTGTGTTCTTAGATCTATTTCCATTTTCTTGTGTTTTTGTCAGCATGTGTAGCGACTGATAAACACCTACGAAAAACCTGCCTAGAAGAACTACATATAAATCTAAAAAAAAACAAAAAAAAAAAAAACAATGTGTAGCAAAATTATAGAAAATAAAACATAATATACTTTTAAAAAAAAAAAAATACACATTACAACCAAAAATGTTTGCGGTTTCTCTCTTCTTTTTATATATATATATATATATATATATATATATATATATATATATATATACACACACACACATACATACATACATACCCTTTGCATCCCATTGGCAAGAAGGAAGTTACATTCAGACAGCTTCTTCCTAAAGGCCGCTACTTTATGGAATAGAGTTTTAAGAAGATGTTTTCCTGGTCACTACAATCTTAACCTCTTCAAGTCTTGGATCCACCATTATCTATCCTACATATCCTAATAATATGCACTTATTACTTCCTCTTCATACATGCATAAAACAACTGCAGATAGTAAGTCTACCTTGAGTGACTCTTGGCCTTTGTATTTGGTAGACATTTAGTATAATACATATATATGCTATCATAAAACATCCTTAGGGCTGAACGAGTGTCATAGCAGCACCACTCTTTCCAAATACATTTGGGAATTGAAAGTAAAGAAAAATTTGAGCCCAATATAGAGTGGAGTATAGTGGACTAAAATGGATGCTATACTGAAAGAATGAAACTTTGAAAATCGTGAGGAGAAGATGGTAATACTAAGGTTCCCAAACCATTCTCAGTTATTAAATAAAAGAACAGAAATGCTCCTAGGATGCAATACACACTAAAAAATATTTATTGGTCAACATGTCACCTGATTGAACATGCATCAGAGTATTTTAAACATTCCATGATAGTTTAATGCTAAATTTACAGGCAAAATGAAAATGTATATTAACCTTGCCTGATATGCCTTACTTCAAGATGAAACTTGAGTAATAGTTCTTTTGAAGATGTTTCATTGTAAGGTATAGGATGGTAAATGCGATACTGATATCCGTAGATGTATTGGGATGGCCAAGAACACATTCCACATTCTGGGTAGAGTTTTGCAAAACAGGAGGATACTTTGATAACAAAAGAAAAGAATACTGAGCTGTTATGTGACATCTGTCCTTCTTTATGGCAGCAAAAGTTGGATGATTTCATCAAAGATGAAGAAGAGACTCGAGGCAACAGAAGGATGATGAGGATATCATGAACCGAGCGTGTGAGCAACGATGAGGTCTTAGAGAGGATGCAAACAAGGAGGAGGCTTATACTTCAGGAAAAGCAGCTGAAGTTCCTGAGACACATAATGAGGAAGGAGGGCCTGGAGAATCCGATACTCACAGGTCGAATAAAGGGAAAGAGAGACAAGGGAAAACAACGTATGACATATCTAGTAGCCTTAAGCAAGTGGATGACAGAACGTGGTCTGGGGGAGGTGGCAGAGGGAAGGAACTTGTTGAGAGCTCCAAAGAATAGAAGGAGGTGGAGAGCCATGATCGCCTATGTCCTGAAAGGACACAGCATATAGAAAGAAAATAGGCATTCAATGACTATTAAATTTAACCATCTTTTCTAAATTAAAAATAATTTTCCATACACCTGGCTACTGCTGATTCAAAAACTCTGCTGCAGCCAGGTTTGTGGAAGATTATTCACAATTTAGAAAAGATGTTTGTTAAATTAAATATACATAGAATGTCAATAGTTATATTATTATATTTTTATTATAATATTTTACGGCATTACATAAAAATTTCTGTTTTGGAACTTAAAATTGTTCCTCATTAGATGATGTTATATATTTATAGAAATTTTTATGTAGCAACATAAAATATTATAATAAAAATGTTATAATAACAATTTTAAGTTCTGTAACATAAAATATTATAATAAAAATGTTTTTTATTATATTTTAGGTCACCACATAAAAATTTCTGTTTTGGAACTTAAAATTGTTCCTCATCAGGTGATGTTATCTAACACTACCTGATGAGGAACAATTTTAAGTTCCAAAACATAGAAATTTTTATGTAGCGATGTAAAATATTGCAATAAAAATGTTATAATAATATCTTACTCCATGCTGTATCAAGCACTTTTTTAAAATAGTAAATGCTAAGAACTGTGGATTCTTAATCTACCTGTTGTTTCTCTTTTTATATATAACACACACCATATATTTCCATATATAAGGCCACCTCTAGATAAGATGAGACCCAATATCTAGGTAAATCTTTGTGATTTTATCTGATATTTGTAGTACAAGACAATCAACTGAGACCCTTATTATTTAACTATAAATGATGTTTACGATGTGCTCTTTGCATCATATGGTAATGATCATAGTAATTTTGAATGGTTTTAATTATGTATGTAAATGTTTTATGTTTATAATTGAAGAATTTTAAAGATTTAACAGCACCTTAAATGTTGTTTAACACAGCAAAAAAAAAAAAAATATTTAATGTAATTGAAAAATAAAATTTGCATGTTATCCTAAATGTTGATATTTAACACTAAGAAATAACAGTCGGTGTGAAAGCACCCATGGCTCTACAAATCAAGATTGATTTGTTTACATTACTTGTGCATGTTACTCAGCAGAACTTATGCAAATTTTTTTTACAGTGACTTTTATTAAAATGAGAATTTAACCTCTCTCCCTGGTTGCATCTCACTTGGCCTCAATTTCTGTTAATTTCTTCTAGCCTTTTGTATTCCAATCAACTTTATTCTTTACAAATTTAAATGTTATGTCAATTATTATCTATTTTCTTAATTCTTTTTCTTTTATTGCTTTCTCTCCTGAATAATGTTTTTCTTTTCTCTATATTTATTCACACTCAGTAACCTCTTGTGTCTTTGTGGATTTATTGCCTTGATTGGGGTGAAATGATTCAAAAATCTGCACAATATTTTTTGTAATTTAATTTGTCTATCTCATCTCTCACAGGATTGATTTGTTTTTATTAACAGCTTTTAACTTTTTGTGGGTTATTTAAAGCTGAAACATAATTCAGTTTGTAGGAGGTTTCAATTGATTGATTTTTTTATGGCTTATCAACCTTTCACAGTTTAATCAAAACCAGAAAATATTTTTAGATTGTAAGAATTTGTTGGAGATAATGATTTACTTATATGTCCTACTAATTAAACCATAGCTAAGGGAGGAGATTCATAGCTTGCACATAAGTGAACATAAAAAACAGGAATTGGAACTTGGGTCTCCAATTTCCAATTCTGAGCCATAATCCATTACACCAACCACATTTCTAAGCTTACAGCACATGGTATTCCCTAGCGGTCACCCATCTAGATACTTACCAGGCCCAACAATGCTTAACTTCAGTGATCATACAAGAACTGGCGTTTCAATGTGATATAATTATAAGCCCTGGTGTTCCAAAGTGGCCCCAGTCTAAATACTAACTTGGCTCAACATTGCTTAACTTTGGTGATCAAATTATCAATACTTTATTAGAAAGTCTTTTGCATGAGAATTTAACACCTCCTCCTCAACTTATACTTCTATTGTATCTCATTTGCTGTCATCTCTGTTAATAAACATTTTCTATAGCCTTCAAGAATTTCTGCAATTTTCAACTGTTTTTTATCATTCTTCTATAGAGACTAATTCCAAATTTTACAGACTTGATGGCTTCTGTTTACGAAGAGCAATTTTCAACTTATGCCATAAATATTTAGTTAGATTTAGATCAAGCAGTTGAGAAGATGGTTACATTATTCTAACTTTCTTTTTTTTTTTTATCTGTTTCAACCCAAGCAAGGCAATAAAGCTACTAAGACACATTATCGTGTGTGAAAGTATAAGAAAAAGGAAACATTAAAGAATAAGAACAATAAAAGAAGAGGAAACAAGACAGTAGATAATTACTGACATTGCATTTAAACTTTTTTGAAGATCAAAGTTGGTTGAAAAGAAAGAAGCCAGAAGAGAGTTCCACAGGTGAGAAAGGCAATAGAAAAAAAAAACTGTCAGCAAAGAATATATGGTTTCATCTAGTCAATTCAACTGGAAAATGATGAGACCTTGCTGCCAATCTAGTATTTTTTTTTAATGGTTTATCAACCTTTTGTGGTTTTGGTTTGGTTTGTTTTGTTTTACTGCACATCAACCTCAATGGGTCATTTAATGCCAACAACTTTTTCTTTTTTTTTTTCTGGTAATATTTTTGTTTTGTCAAAAATCTATTTCTGGTAATATTTTTTTCCTCAAAAATGTATAGCTGGTAATATTATTTTTTCAAAAACGTACAGCTGGCAACATTATTTTTTATTTTTTATTTTATTTATTATCGTTCAAAAAACGTATAACACTATTCTTTCAAAAAAAAAAAAAAACTTATAGCTGGTAAAATTATTTTTTCAAAAACGTATAGCTGGTAAAATTATTTTTTCAAAAACGTATAGCTGGTAAAATTATTTTTTCAAAAACGTATAATACTATTCTTTCAAAAAAAATAAAAATAAATAAAAATAAAAAAACGTATAACTGGTAATATTTTTCAAAAACATTATCAGAGGCCTTGCTGCTGGACGTAGTTTATCGTCATACCCAGGACATGGATGTAGTTTATCGTCATACCCAGGATGCCAACCCTTTGTTGTTTATTTAAAACCAGAACATATTTTGGATTTTAGGATGTTATTTGCAGTACCTCGAATTCCTAAGCGGTCCACCATCAAAGTGCCAACTGGCTCAACACTGCTTAACTTTGGTAAGTAATGAGGAATATAATAGATGGATATTCATTAACATATCCTACAAACTTTTGAGACTTGTACATCTTTTTGTTTTCCTCTGTGTTTCTTTTTTGTTTGTCTTTAACTGTAAAAGTGACATAAAAATCTCAATAATGTCCTACAAAATATTGACACAGGTTCATCCTCTGAAAGATCTGCCTGGATATACTTTACATTCAAATTCAGGTTGAATAACACATAACTTGTGATTTTAGACACCACCCCATATTAAAATATTCTTTGGATAACTCAATCTAGCGAGTTATGGTACAATATCAATTTCATTCCGTTTATGAATGATACATAAAACAATAGAATCATATATGTTGAACGGTTTGGAAATTCTCTTGATGATCTTCCAAGGATTGTTCCTGCATTCTTCAGGTCTTTGAAATGTCCTTTAGTTTTTAATCAGGGTTTTAAAAGTAAATGAAATAAAAGAATTTTGATTTTGCTGACTAAATAACTCCATACCACCAAACATTTCACTTATCTATAACCTTTTTTTTTGCAAATATTAAACAAGTTGTGGCTTTAAAAAAAAAAAATAATGCAACCTGAAATCCTTATTGGTTCAATATCCTAGAAATTACAGAGACTTGTCCATTTGTTTCAGCATTCTTCAGATCTTTCCATTAATTTTCTTACAATCAAGTTGGCTAATATGTTCTTCGTGATTTTAGTCAATCTTTCATATTAAAATTTTCTTTGGATGAACCAATCTTGTAATACAATATGTGAAGGCTTACAGTTATATCATGTTGAATCACTGAAGTTAAGCAACATCAAACCTGGTCAGTGCCTAGATGTGTGACCATTAAGGAATACCAAGTGCTGTAATCTTGGATGTGCAAGTTGCATAATGGATAAAGGGTTGAAATGAGAACTTGGAGAGCTGAGTTTGAATTCCATGAATTACAATTGGGTTTGTGCAAATACCCTTGGGAAATGTATGAATGTACCTCTTCTCTTCCCAGCTATGGGTTAAATAGTAAGAGTTGTATAAGAAAATCATTATTATCTCCAAAAATTCTTACACTCCAAAAATATATTTTGGCTTTAAATAACCTTAAAAAGGTTGGTAAACCATAAAAAAAAACAAATCACTCATTCAATATATGAATGACAGATAAAAGAATGGAATTATTAATGCAACTAGAAATGATTATCAGTCCAATGTCCGAGAAATTGTTGAGATTTGTCCATTGTTTCAGTATTCTTTCCATTATATTTTTACACTCTAATTTAGGTTGACTGATATTTTCTTTGCGATTTTTAGTCACCCTTTAATATTGAAATGTACCTTTGAGGAACCAATCTTGCAAGCACTGATACAATGATGGATAAATAAATATAGAGTGTGTTAAATTGCTTAAAAATTTCTTCTTGAATTGATAAACTTCAGTCATTAATTGTTCAGGTCTTTTATGAATGGTTGTTGGTTTTTGTGAGTATTTCAAAAATGGTTGCTTAATTTGTCAAAGAAATTTATTGACTTTACTACCAAGCTTGTTAAGTTTAAAAATAAATCACTATTTCTGCCACTGAATATATTCAATTTCAAAAGGGCTTTAATAGGTAACATTTTGCCCTGTATCGCTGTGCAAGTCATTTTCACCAAGGTTTTATTGACCAGCAATCATATTAAAAAGGGAATTTCTTTTCTTTTTCTCCAGCACATAACAGGCATGAAAGCAAGTAATGAAGAAGCAAGTTTTTTCCTTCAAAAAATCTTTGTTGATGGTGATGAACCACAAGCCTTTGGGAGCAATGGTAGACATTTCTTGGAATCTTATGGCTGAAAATTATCAGAAGCAAAGGAAATTCACTGGTTCCGCAAGAAGGAATTCTTTGCATACAGGAATCAAGAAGGAGAAATTCCAAGAACATGCCACCAGGCAAAAGATCCTGGTTTCCTTTTGTGTGCCAAGCTTTGCCTGAAACCAGAGAAACCAAAGACAAAAGAAAGATCAAAAGCTGAAGGATTTTCACAGACTCCACGATAAGGAAGGGGAGAGGAAAAATTTCTATTGGGAAGAACATAGGTAAAGTAACAAGCATTGATAACCATTATTATTATTATTGAACAATATTAGTCACACATCTATAAAGTCTTACACACATCTACAAGAGGGTTCTAAAAGAATCCTCAGCCTAATGTACTTTCAAAAATCTGACCCAATGAACAAACATTTTTATACAAATCCCTTTACATGTGAATTTATAAAGGCACACACATACATATATAAGAAGATGCTGAAAAGATCTCAGCCTGACCAATAAGAAATTCTAATATTTAATCATACTTTGGGAAGTGGGTCATGCTGAGAACTTTTCAACACCCTTCATAAATGTTTAGAATCAAACAGGCACACACGCACACATATATATATATATATATATATATATATATATATATATATATATAGATGTATTAGAAATTTTTGAAAATTTGAATAATTTCACATAATAATTCATTGAGTCTAGAACAAGAATCCTCAGCAGAATGTAGAAGGCAATGGATAGCCGTTTCATCCTTTTTTTGGGACTCATCAGTAATGTGCATCCACTACTGAGAATCTAAACTGGACCTGATCCAATGGTATGATGCTTGCGTTGTATCATAATGGCCTGGGTTCAATTCTTGATAGTGTATGTGCACTATTGATGAGTCCCAAAAAAAGATGAAATAGCTGTCCAGTGCTTTCTGCATTCTGTTAAGGATTCTTGTTCTAGACTCAATCTATTATTATGCGAAATATATACATATATACTCACACACACATATATGAGAGAAAGATGTATGACAAAACAGAAAAAAATTTTATGTGACACATTTCGACCTTTAGAATTTTATCGGACTAAATTTGTTTACATTGGTGCAACTACACATACACACAAATAAGAGATGCTAGGTATTCTAAATTTTAAATTATTTTTCTTTTTTTATGTGTTTTGGGTTTATAATCTAGGCAATTTCATTTAGATTCTTTTTCTTTTTGTTTCCATCACTTTCGTTATTAGATATCCAACACCGTGATGATATATATATATATATATATATATATGGGACCTTTGAACATTTTTACAGTCATTTTGGAAAATTGCTGCAGATATTAGACATTACTTGGTGGTGGTGCTTCAATATTGGCAACAGTGGTCAGATGATCATTTATAGAAACATAGACCTGGTTCTGGTCAGTCACATCATACAAGCATTTGGCAAGACTAATGTATTGAAAGGGAAGCAATAGGGGACCACAAGTCATCTACAGTACAAATAAGATCAAAGTCTTCAAACATTTTGAGACATAGTAAGTATCCAAGCTTTGAGAGTGATAAATGCTGCAATAAGGTTCAGTGGAGGTGAAAAAAAGTCCAGATGTATGTGTGCTGCATTTGTTTAATTTGAGAAATTTAAGATTGGTCTGATTGTAGATCTTCATAAATCTGGATGATCATTTCAGAAAACTGTTGCCCATGTCAGATGTGATGCTTCAGTTGGATGTTGATAACAGTGATCAAATACCTACACAGTGGGCTTACAAGTGGATAGTCTGCATTTTTAGAACAGTTCCCAAGTGATAGGTACTATATCTAGTCTGAAAGCCAACAGTCTCCGGATTTCAGAATTTAAATGTCCCAACTACAAATATTTGTCATGTTATGATTGGTTGAAGTTAATCAAAACTTGTATATGTTTAATCATTGACCAATGATCAGTTCTAGATATTTTTTTTTTAAAATCATTTCAACCAAAGCAAGGCAATAAAGCCATAAAGACACAAGGGGTTACCAAGTGTGAAAGAATAAGAAAAAGACAACATTAAGAAGTGAGTACAATCAAAAAAAAAAAAAAACAGGAATCAAGAAGACAGTAGATAACAATAGACATTGTATTCAAACTTTTGAAGATCAAAGTTGCCTGGAAAGCAAGAAGCTGGAATAGAGTTCCATAGACAAGAAGCGTGAAAAAAGAAATTATTAGCAAAGAACTTACAGTTACATTTAACCATTTCAACTGCAAAATGATGAGACCTTGCTGCAAATCTAGCACTGCATTTAAATTCATAAAGTCTAGATACCATAGAGCAAAGATCATCAGAACATTTACTATCAAAGTATTTATAGAAAAGCACAGGGAACCTACATTATAGCAGTGAAAAAGTGATTGAAGCCAGGATGCCAGTCAAGACCAATAACATTGCAGATTCTTTAGATTTTATCAAGAATCTCTAAATATATAGCAGAAACACCAGTGGCAGCAATATTCAAAGTATGGATGAATGGTAGACTTATAAATATTATAAGATTGTTTAGCATGGTAAAGTGAATCAACTTTCCTAGCAGCAGACCTAGCAATTGATTCAATGTAATCTTTCCATTTCATGTTAGCCTGTGAATGTGCAAGTTGCTCTCCTGTGGATGGGGGGGGGGTATCATCAGCCATTCTGATGGAAGACAGAAAGGGGTCTCTCAGATGATTAATAGAAAGCAGTTTTGTTTTGGAGATGTTAAAATTAACAATCCATTCCTTGCCCCAGTTAACAGCAGGTTTTAGGTCACTTTTGAGATCAGCTACCAATTTGACCTTATTGAACTGATCAGACTTAGTAAATCATTGTGTCATCAGTATAGATTCTGAGTTGAGATTGGAAACCATCAGGAATGTTCTTGAAACATTCCAGGAAGGTTTCCATAGGTTCCAGTCCATTGTCTTCTTGGAAGACAAATTATCTACTAATTTGAAAAGCAGAGATTAAATTATTGAAAAAGAAAAAAAAGATTGATATTTTAGGGAGAGTCCATTCAAATCACCTCAATGCTTAGTTTTCCAAGAGTATTTGCATGCAAGTGAATACAATAAATCCAACTGGATTTGAAATTCAGCTCTCCTATTTCCAATCCCAATGATGTTACATCAGTCCCATAAAACAGTTTACACTATTTATATTATTTGGAGAGTTGTCCTCATCTTTATTGCCATATTCAAGACATTTTAGACGTTGTACACTCCATAGATTTACAATTTGCTTTATTTTTTTCTAAAAAAGTTGTTTGAATCTTGTTGAAATGTATGTTATAAATCATAGACAGGTTTAACTTGATATTCTTTTTCAAAAATGATCTGTATCAAATGGAATTTGTGGCCCTACAACGCAAAATTCAGTCAAATCAACACAATTTTTTTTTTTTTTTGTTATATTTTGCCTGCTTCTTTGTCACTGATCCCTGTCCTACCTTCAAATAATGCTAAGAAAAATATAAAAGAAAATTATTTTTCTCTTTTTAGTTTCCAAATATTAAAAACAATTGAAATGTGCAAAAAGTAAGAAAATAGTTCTCAGGAAGATATTTCAAACATTCTCGGTTCCTTTCATATGTTAAAGTGACCATTACCCACATTTGGCACTGAACATAAAAATCAGTTTTCAACATAACTTGTATCTCTCAGAAAATCATGACTTAGACCTCTATACTTATATTTTGTGGCATACTGATCAATTTTTGGCACTGAAAATTCCCCCCCACAAAGTCTAAATAGGTTAAATGTAAAATAAAAGTTCTTTTGGGGATTTTTTGATCTTTAGTTTTTTTTAATTAGAAATAAGAAAGTTTCATTTTAACTGTCCTGTTAAGAACAAATATAATTAATATAGTCACATAACTGAGCTGAAAATCATTCAGGGGAACTCAAAAACTACAAATGTCTGCTTGGTTATATTATGTGAGTCCAATGTGTCTTACATCCAGACACTAGATTTTGTACAGTCATGTAATACAGATGCTCACTAATATAAATCTATTGTAAGGGCAGCAGTGGTGGATTGTGCAGCATACACAACACAGCATTATGCACAACTGGGAATCATTTACTCGATACAGGACTACAGGTATATATACTTCTAGCAAAACTTCCACTCACAGCACAATATTGCCATACAATTTTTCAGTGGTATCATGAAAGTGTAACAGGAGTAGGTCTGTCTTCATACAAATGATGGTCATTTGCATGTGCGACATAGATATAGCAAGTAAGATCTTTCATAGCATATTTGCCCAATTCCTGGTATCATAGTGCATAATGTTGTAAGTCATAACTTTCTTCTTTGTACTAATGCCTGAAATGAAATTCAGCAGGTCACCATGACCGTGGTTTAAATGCCTTTAGCCATTAAATTGATGGCATGTCATTGGCTGATTAAACTTTGTATAAAAGAGCATTTGTTCACTTGTAATGAAGTGGCTAGTGTGTGTGTGTATATATATATCTCAGTAAACATACAGATATGATAATGTTAACATTTAAATTCAGTTGTAATTGGATCCAATTTTTCTCCTTGTAATTCACAAAGAAATCCAGGACTGAAATGCACACACACACTAAATACTACTGGTTAAAAAAAAAAAAAAAAATGAAGTAATCAATGATGATGACCAAATTTTTTTTTGTTTTTGTTTTTTTGCTAAAAATGCATGGCTAATATCTTATAAAAAAAAATACCTACCAACTAAAGAAAAACGTTCTTTGTTTTTTCCTTTTTATTTTTTAATGCGGTCTATAATCTCCAAAATAACACTAATGATTTCAGGCAGAAAATAACAGGAATTTAGGTTCTCTGTACAGTGATAGATAGATAGATAGTGACAGAGAGGTAGATAGATAGATAGTGACAGAGAGGTAGACAGATAGATAGATAGATAGTGACAGAGAGGTAGATAGATAGATAGTGACAGAGAGGTAGACAGATAGATAGATAGATAGTGACAGACAGATAGATAGAGACAGACAGAGAGATAGATAGAGATAGACAGAGAGATAGATAGAGGTAGAGAGATAGATAGATAGATCATGAACAACGGCCTGTGTGCGTGTGTGCTGTAATCTCCAAGTCAGTCAAGCAGCTGGCTGTGCTGACCTATTATCGGGATCCTGCCTTCTTAAAACTGAGTCAATAGAAAAGAGCCGACAGTAAATGTCACGATGACATAACGCATGTTGATTGAAGCTGGAGAAAGAGAGAGAAAATAACCAAGCCAAAAGCCAAAAAAAGAGAAGAAGAAAAAAAAAAAAAAAAAAGAAAGGCAGTTCGGTTATTGACTTCGAAAGAAAGACAAATAAACGGCGCACTCTCTCTGGCTTCCCTTTTCTTTCAATCTATGTACACCGAGTTACCGGGTCAGCCTATCATGGTTTCTTCCAGTGAGGAAAGAGAGGAAAGAATGGATTGCCACCGCACAAGTCAGTCAGTGAGACAAGTCAAGAGTTGAAGTCACTCGATACGGACCGATGTTGGCTTGTTATACAAACAGAAGAAAAATATAAACACACACAAACATTATGATATGTGTATGTGTTATTTTTATTTTAATATATATATATATATATATATATATATATATATATATATATATATATATATATATATATATAAAGCAAACAGAGAAAGAGAAAATTGACAAGAGATGAGTGTGAAGGAGGGGGCTGGGAAATGTTGATTTCGATCTCTAAAGAAATTTTTTAATGAAAGGAGAGAGGGTAAGGAAAGGAGAGAGAGAGAGAGGAAGAAGGGAAGGAGAGAGAGAGAAAAAGAAAAAAAGAGAAGGAAGGAGAGAAGGGAAAAAAGAAGGGAAGGAGAGAGAGAGAAAAGAAGGAAGGAGAGAGAAGGAAGGAGGAGAAAAGAAGGGAAGGAGAGGGAGAGAAAGAAAAGGGAAGGAAGAAGGGAGAGAGAGAGAAAAAGAAGGGAAGGAGAGAGAGAGAGAAAAAGAAGGGAAGGAGAGAGAGAGAGAAAAAGAAGGAAGGAGGGAGAGAAAAGAAGGGAAGGAGGGAGAGAAAGAAGGGAAGGAGGAGAGAGAGAAAGAAGGGAAGGAGGGAGAGAGAAAGAAGGGAAAGAAAGGAGAGAGAAAGAAGGGAAGGGAAGGAGGGAGAGAGAAAGAAGGGAAGGGAAGGAGGGAGAGAGAAAGAAGGGAGAGAGAAAGAAGGAAGGGAAGGAGAGAGAGAAAGAAGGAAAGGGAAGGAGGAGAGAGAAGAAGGAAGGAGGAGAGAGGAGGAGAGAGAAAGAAGGGAAGGAAGGAGGGAGAGAAGAAAGAAGGGGAAGGAAGGAGGGAGAGAAAAGAAGGAAGGGAAGGAGGGAGAGAGAAAGAAAGGGAAGGAAGGAGGGAGAGAGAAAGAAGGGAAGGGAAGGAGGGAGAGAGAAAGAAGGAAGGAAGGAGGAGAGAAGGAGGGGGGAGGAAAGACGTATATTTTGACTCTCAAATTATTTTTTTTACAGCTGAATTACTTTAACTTATTCTGATTCAAGGTTGCAACTATAGGGCACTTTGTGAGAATTGAATTCACTGCAATTGTAATGGTATCTCCACGTATTGATGATGATCTGCATTCAAATTTCAACTGAGACTGTTTGCATCAATTTTTTGTGCTAATACTCTTAGAGAAGGCAAGAACCCAATTTTCCCTTCCCTCTAATTTAAAATTCTTTAAATTTTCTACTTTTTCCTCTTATCTTCCAAAAGATTCTTCTAAAAAATATAATGAAAAAAAAAAAAAAAAATGCTCCAACAAAGTTTTATCGTTGAAATCTTTATTATTAAGAGTAAAGACCAAAGGATTTTTTTTTATTATTAAATTATATTTTGTTTTTATCCTTTTTATAACCTTAAAAATTGTTTTTCTTGTGTCAGCAGGTGACCATAAATTAATATAGGAAATTTTGGGGAGTGAAAAAACATTGATTTGGAAATTCTTGCAAAGATCAGATAATTGTCAGATTTTAATTAAACTTTCACGGCTTATTCACAAATGAATGACAAGTTTTAAATGTTTCTTTTTTTTTTTTTATATATATATATATATATAGAAAATCTTTGTAAAAAATATATATTTCTTTTTGCACCTGTTACCTCCCCTCCACTTATTTAATTTTATAAAATTTCAAGAAATTCTTTTTTTGTAGGGATTAAATGTTTATATCAGTTTCTTATAACTGATATAAATATTTAAGCCCTACAAAAAAAGAATTTCTCAAGGTCTCGGAGAATTTAAATCATGAAATCTTTATGATCAAACAGGACCCCCAATGCAATAAAACTAAGACATTATTTAATTAGAAAAACTTCATTGCTTTTAGGTTAAAAATATATTACAGATACGATTGTTTTAGGAAAAGAAAATCATTCAATAAATAATGAATTCTTACAAGAATTGTTTTCATTTTTTGTCTTTTAATTATGTTTACATTTTTAAAATTCTGTATTACTTTGTATCGGTCAAGTTATTTAATAAAAAATATATATTTACTAATCATAAATGGGAAAGCTTACTACAATTCAGGAACTCCCAGTATTTTAAAAAGAATTATTGTTTCTGGCATATTAAATTATTATGCTTTCTCTTACTTCCTTTTTCTTATTAAAAAAAATTATTATTTACAGTGCTTATTATTTGTAAATGTTTTCTTTTCTATCTGATTTTCTGGGATGAGGAGTTATTATTTACACTATTTACATCTGGACTATTGTCTTCATTGTTGTTATCACAATTTTTCAGCCACTGTGTCCTCCTGCCTTATAGCTTTATATATAGATCTGGGTAACCTACAGGGAATTCTGAACTGAAACCTTTATTTAATCTACACAGGTAGCCTGTTCTTGTTTCACTGCTCGTATCTCAGGATATCTAGTCTAGCTGACATTTTTATTACTGCTCAGTTATTGCTCGCCCATTTCCACTGAGTCTTAGAACACACTGCCTAGCCCAGGGATTGAACTCAGAAACCAACATTTTAATCCACTAGGCTATTGTTCCATATATATTGGCAATTCCGTTTCATTGTTTTACTGTTGAAATAGCGAGTTGTAACCATAAGTTCTATTCTAATAATTTCCTTTCTCACCTCTGGAACTTTCTCTTACTTCCCTGCCAACTATCATCTTAATTTAAATGCAATGCCAACTGCCCCTTTTTCCATCTTCTTGAATCCTTTTCTTTTATTGTCTTTTACCCTCACTAACATCTTATTTTCTTTCACTCTTAGTAATTCTTTGTGTCTTAGAGACATTACCACCTTGCTTGGAGTGAAATGATTAAAATAAAAAAAATCATTATCACTTCAGTATCTGTGACCATCACTTCAGATCTAAATTGTTTGTTTAAAATACTATATTTATCAGAAAATATATTCAGTTTAAATACAAGAATGAGAAAAATGATTTCAAGGGCTATACAAATTTGACTTTTACTCATTTCCTGTAATCCAAGACAGAAAAGAATTTTAGATCTCAAGACACAGATGCCCATTTCAGTTCCATTCAATTTGTATGTGCATGTAGGTGATACATTTTTATGATTTTATTGCTCGGCCCAGGGCAGAGATTGTCCAGACTTAATTGGAGGGGAATGTATTATGCCAATGATTTATTTCAAACTCAAATTGTGTGTGTGCATGTGTGAGCAAAAATATTAGTAGCACAATGCTGCATATTGACAAATAGAAAAAAAATAATAAATCTGCTTAAAGTGGACTAAATTTCACATCCAATAGATGTTAGTGGCTTCAGTTTGAAAAACAACAAATCTCTAGCAACAATGGCTAAGGATCTTTGACATCTTCTCCATATTTCAAACCTACACTTAGGATAAAACACCAATCTTTCCCAAACTGACAAAGTCCCCTTAGCAAGAATCAGAATTGGTCAACCAACTTCACACATTAATTCCTTCTAAAAGATGACGATCCACCTAAATGCATTGAATGTCACAAGACATACACAGGAAAACACAGAATTTGCTGAATTTGTCTCTATCCATAAATGCATTTATAAGGGGAATAGCCTTAAGGAACTTTTGAAAAACATAAATGTAAAAACCATTTTGACCTACTTGAGGAAAACTAAATTATAAACCAAACTTTAACACAGACAACTTCACATATAGATGAACTATACAACCAGTTTTTGACTATACTTCATGAATTATAAAACTTACTAAAAACTTATTGAATAAAAATCCAGTTTTCAGCATTAAATGACCCACGAGGGTTGATATGCTAGTAAAATAACCAAACCAAATCAAACCATATTTTAACATCCTTTTGTCACACATAGGATGCCTATTATAAGCATAAAATGCATAGCTGAATAGTTTTTCCATTTTGTGTTATACTCACCACTTTTGTTTGGATATTATTAAACATCCTACTATCGCCTATATGTAGGCCACAGAGTCAAGTTGTGGTTTTTATACTGCAACTATATGGAGTAAACATTAGAGTTTCTAGGAGAGAGCTCATAATCTGGTATGATTAACTGTTTGAACAAGGACAACATACTAAAAAACCCTTGGTCACAATGACCCCTTTACTCACAAGGCTTGGATCAACCTATGATGCAATTTTTCAGACATGTCCTGCATGGTCAGACCATCTCCCCATTATCAACAAGTCACCTCCTTAACAAATTGATGCTAGTGAGATTCAAAGTTCTTGAGCTGACTTCCGATGTCTGTCGAACTCTCTGCTAACGCAGAGAGGAACCCAGACGAGGCTTTGCCGAAGGGCAAGGTTTCATCCGGGGAGGTAGACAGGGCCTGAACCTGTCTAATCGGCTTCAAAAGGCTATTTTTTTGGCCGAGCCTATGGGCTCGGAGAAACCCACAATAAAACCGGCCTTGTGCCAAATTCGTTTCCCGTGGGTGAAATGATAAATACCGAGATTCAAACCCAGTCATTATGGTCAAATCTCTAACGTTCTAACCACTTGGACACATGCCCGCTCAAAATTTATATATATATATATATATATAAAAATTAATCTGTAGAAAAGGACATTATGTATAAAAGATAAAAGACAATAGGAAAACTGTATATAGTTTTTACCGACATGTTTCATCCACTGCAGACTTTTTCAAGGAAAACGAAGTGAATTTATTTGAACAAAGTGTCTATAAACAAAAAACAAAATGTTAGTTACTAGAAAAATTTTGAAATGCTCAGATATATTCAATGGGTCAACTTCATCCACAATGCAAGAAGTCACTTCCCAGTCAAATTGACCATGTTGAGATTTGTACCTGGCTCTCATAGTTGGAATGACAACATTGTAATCACTCAGCCAAACATTCATTTAAAAAGAAAATTAGATGTAGGCAGTGTGTGATGGAATCAGGTCTTCTTTTAAAATATAGATTATATTCAAATACATTTTATTATTAATATTAATCAATACATTGGTGCTGTGAAAATCTCTACATCATCATCTTTGTATATAACAATTATTGCATTTTATCAATATTAAATACTTTGCTTTCTTGTTGTCCTCAAATGCTAATTACTATCATCACACAAGACTTGTGATTACTAGCAATTAATTCTGACAGATTAGAAAATGGTTTTCACATAATTATTACAGCCAACCTAATAGCAAATAGGTAATATTAATCAGAGAACAATAAGTGAAATGCAAGATAAAAATAACAAAACACAGAAAATATATTTTCATCTGATTTGTTAGAAAAATAATGGAGTGGACAGCAAAACGTTTCCCCAGAAATTTGACAAAAACCATATCAGTAAAAATGGTTATATTAACACCACTGGGAAAGATTTTAGGAAAAAAAAATGGTCAACTTATTCTACCACTCTTGAAAGTACTGCATCCCTTCAGTCATGCTTTATCTTTACAAGAGCCAGATCAGCAGATGGAGCATTGCTGACATGTATCTAGACTGGAGCTGTGCAATCCCAACTTTCTTGCCTTCAAAAAGCATTTACACAGCCTTGTGGGTGATGAATTATTTTCAACCCTACAGCCTCTTTCCCCACAGAAAAAAATGTTGCTAGATTCTCACTAATCTATCGCTATTGCCAGGGTAAATGTTCAGATGTGCTCAATTCCTTAATTTCACCAGTTCAGACCTTTACAGCTGAGACCTACCATGCCACACACACAGAATCAAATTATCCTCATTCCCTCCATATTCCATTGGTAACAACGAAATTCCACATAAACTACTTTCACTCAAAAAAGAAAAAAAATTTCTGAAAAGACTCCCAAATCAATACAAGTCTTGGGTTAATAGTTATTTATCCAATATATCCTCATAATCTACATTTACTTGCACCTCTTATACCAACCTCAACTCTACCTTGAGTTGCTTTTGAGCCATGTATAAAACTACCGCTATTCTTTTGCTGTTTCTCTGGTGATATTTCAGATGAGCTCCATTTTTAATTCCACCAGTTAAGAACTTTCTAGCTAAGACCCACAATGTCCAGAGTTGAGCCATATTTCTATTTGTTGTGACCTTGTTGGTGCCAGAATAAAAACACAAGAGTGGATTTGAGTTAACAGATATATTAACAAAAATTGGTAATACAATAATATACAAACAAGCAAGAATGTTAAGTCCAAACTGTCAGAGCTGACTGTTGAGGAAAAAAAAAACTCTCTGACAAAAGAGTACCTGCTTTTATTTATAACTTGGAACTATCCATATATGGGTAATTTAACATAACACTATTGTAAAAAGAAAATTCTACACAGCTTTTTTCCAAAGAACCACTGCTTTATGAAACAGACTTCCATATAGATGCTTCCCCAAACATTACAATCTTAACTTTTTTGAGTCAAAGGTCAACTGTTAAATGTCCTCATAATCTTCACTTTCTACCATTCTATTCATATCACACACATCACTCATTAACCCTCTACCTTGAGTGGTTCTCAGGCCTTTTATTGAGTGAACATCAGAAAAAAAATATTTAGTTAAAAAAAAATTAAAAAAATTAAAACTCTGATCTTGTCGGCTGTTGTTCCTGAACCAATAGCAAAGAAAATATTTCACTTCTATTGCAGGACAGATGAGGGTAACAACAAAAGAGGCATATCCCGTCCGAGCAGTTGCAACATGTGAGTGGACTTAGAGGGAGCATGAATTTTGACTCAAAATTTATGTCTTTATGGTTTTCTCATTTCTCCCAAACAAACAAAACCTCAAATGAAGATTTATTCAGTTTTGGAATTTTGGTGCTGACCATTAATGAAGAACAATTGGCCTTCATGAATAAATATGGTTTATGACAGAGATTTTCTTAAGATGATTCTTAATCTTTCACCAATACTAAAGGAATTTTTAAAATATTCAAACATTTTGAACAATAAATGGATATACAGAGTCTGCCAAAACAATTATACACACTTCAAGAAAGGAAAAAATTTATTCAGACATCACAAGATTAATAAAAGTTAACTTTGGACTCTACAATCACAAGAGAAAAATTGTGGCCTTTAGCTTCCGGACATTAATTAGTATGGTGAGCTACTGTTTGGACAACATTGGCCAAAGTGTCCAGTGAGATTGCTGCACATGTATTTTCAATATATTGTCTAAGGGCTGCCAATGTAGTTAGTTTTCTACAATTCACAACATTCTTTAGGACTTGTTGATGCTAAAACAATGAGGGTAATGCGATCTGTTGAGAAAATATCATACTACAGTAAACGATGTTATCGCAATTTGATAAAACGACAAGTTTTTCCTTTCTTGAAGTGTGTATACATATTTTTGTCAGACTGTATATAAACATTGTGTCAGCTTATTCTGGAATAAAGAAAAGCATTTTATTTTCTGACATAATTCATACATAAATATTACAGAAAAAATCTTATTACCCACTAATCAGTGCAGTAGAGATGACAAGGATTTTTTTTTTTTTAACCTTGTTCCAATTTGGAAATCTTTAATATATAACAAGATAAATTATTACAACATTTATCAAAATTCACAATCATGACTACTGCTACATATGGGCACTATATGTAATATAGTAATGCTACAGTAGAACTAAAGAGCCCAGTTTTCCCTCTTATTTCTGAGGGTTTGATTACAGAATTTTCCTTCCTCCAGATTGGTTGTCACCTAATGTAAAATAGCCCGGTCTGCGGTGATATTTAACCCATAGCTGAGGGAAGATGGTCTCATGCCTTTTCCAATGGCATTAATACAAAGGGAACAAAACAGAATTTGAACATGGCATGCTGATTCCACCATCTATTCTGATAACCATCACACAACATATAAATCCATGCAAAAATTACATAGATTTAATATAAACCATTCTATGAGTATAAAAATTCTCGGCCAGACCAATTCCTAAAATTTGAGCCATATTTCATAAGTGTAGCTAGAAAGAATATTCTTATACATTGCAAAGTGCCAATTTTCAGGTTGCTTTCATTTCATTTCCGAATCTGACAATATAATATGTGGGATTTTTATCATTTTCACTGTTGTATTGTTACGTCAATTATGCCTGGCTGTTCTGGCTCATCTGCAGTGGGGGGTATAAAAATTGACATTTACTGGAAATAAATGACTATAAACATACTGATGGCAATTTCTCATAAGCACTACCATGTCGATTTTGATTGGATGTTCTGCAGTACAGACTAAGCTAAAAGACACTTCCAATATAATAAAAAATTTCTTACAGAACAGATTGTATTGTATGCCACTATATGTATTCTCTGGTCTTGAAATGTCACTAAGCACTAGTTACTTTATACAACAGACACTGAAGACCAACATATCATGGTGTCTTCAAAAATTATATACATGATCACATCTGGTTGAAGAGTGTCAAGATTTAGTAGTGACTCAAGTGGTGTCACATTGAGGGTTGACGCTGTGAAGCATTTTTTTTTTTTATCTATTGGAATAGCCTGGGCATTGAGCACTTATTTACAGCTTAGGTTGGTGTCTGTCTTTTTTCTTAAGTGGCATTATCGCATTGCTTGGAGTGAAATGATAAAAAAAAATGGCCATCCCCGTCATACTCAACTGTGATAAGTGGTGTGCCAACTTCCAGCATAGAAATTTTCAGATCTAAGATTCAGAATGGTCTGAGAGGCCATCAACATTGTCAAACTTCTGAAATTGATATTAACCTTATTTTAGATGAGTAATGAATCCTGGTCAAAACAATTGCTAAGACACTCGAAATACCAAGGGACATCAATGAGTTTAGAATTCATGAGCAGTTGGGTACACAGAAGCTATCAGACAAGATGGTGTCAAAATATTTGAATGCCAAACAGAAATGATATTGTCTACAACATTTTGAATGATGTAATAATTTTTTTGGAATGACATGACACTACTGATGTAACATGGTTACATGACTATGATGCAGAGTCCAAATAACAGTCCATGCAGTGGCACCATTTGGTTCTCCACTATTAATGAAATCCAAGACCCAAAGATCAGCCGGGAAGGTCATGGCCATTTTGTGGGTTATAAGGAAGTTATTTTAATGGCTATTTCCAGAAATACCAAACAGTTAATGGAGAATATTAGTTTTTATGGCAATTAGAGGAGGAGTTAAAAGATAGGAACATTGACGGAAGCTGGAGAAAGATGTTGCCTTTTATGCATGACAATTCACCTGCATACAAGGCTAGTAAGATGAAAAATGTTTTAAAGTATTTAGTGTTTCAGCATATAGACCATCATCGACATTGCTTGCTAGATTGTCTCACATTTGATTATTTCCCTTTCTAAACCTTAAAAAGAATTTGAAAAGACGGAAACTTTCCAATGATTTAGAGGTGATAGAAGCAGCAGTAGAGGAATATTTCAATGACCAAACATTTTCATCAAGTCAGTGATAATATTTTGAATAAATTGTCACTGGTGATGTAACACTGATCAAGACAAAACAACAGTCCTTGCAATGGTGCCACTCAGGTTCTCTCGAGCCAAAGAAATTTAAGATCCATGAAGCAGTGAGAAATATTATGGTCCTAGTTTTGGGGGATAAGGAAGGAATTTTGATGACTATCTTTGGAACAGCCAAGGAATTACTGCAACATAATTCTTTAACTTGTATTGTTGAGGTGTTCAAAGAGAAATTGCATGAAAAGCTGCAGAAAGAGGTTCTCTTTTTGCAGGACAATGCAGCTGCACATAGGACTGGCAAGACAATGAATGTTCTGAAGAATTTGGGATTTGAGTGTTTAGACTATCCACTATGCTCACCAGATTTTACTTTCTCTGGCTATTTTCCAGTTTTCAAGGCTTAAAAGTAGTTTGAAAAGGAGAAAAGATTGTGAATGATTCAGGTGACCACAGTAGCAGCAGCCAAGGCATATTATTTCAATAACCAAACATCAGAATTTTTTTAAGAAGATTAAAGAGATATATTGAGCAAAATGTATTGAACAGTGTGAATGTTCAATAGCATATTTTATGGTTACCCAAGAACCTTTCAGCACTGTATACGTGCACGTTCAGGTTGAAGTTTTCGATTCTGACTGCCATTAATTCCAGTACAAGTTCAGATCAGCTTTATTGTACATTGATTTACTATGTGCATGCACACACAGAGATATCTGTCCATCTTGGTCTATTCCTATCTGTTTATTGACAGTTCAATAACAACCAAGATGAAGACACCAAGTAAATCAGTGTATAAAAATAATGATTCCATTTAAAAATTTAGACAAAAAAACTATCAGATTAGCTGTTAGAACAGATTATCAAAGGTCATATTTTATAGAGGTCACAGTCTTAGGCAGCAGAGTAACATTTCAATCAATACTTATGACCCACTTATAATACATCTACTATGTATCTAAAGTATCTTGAATTTTTAAAAACAGAAACAAGTAATAAAACCATTTGATCAAATATTAAAAAAGGTTTAACAGAACTTTTACCTATGAATATAATGCTGTGTAACAAAATTTTGACTTTTTTTTTTGTCTTTGGTCAGTAAGTATTATTTCCCAATTGCTTCTGTCTAGAAAGATAAGGAAATGACTATTATTCACTTCAAACTTTGCTTTAGTGACCTGGACATCAATGTTTTGAAACGTACCTATTTTTCATTACATTCCAGACAGATTCAGTGCTGAGTTGCTGAAGGAGAACTTTCTAGAAGTTTCGAGAATTTCTAGAATGTTCTAGTAACATAGATAGCAGTATAAATACAGGGAACGCAAGTTCAACAGTTCAGTTTATTTCTCACTGTCCAAGTACAAACAAGTCTGTCTATATTTCTGAGATGAGGTATTATGCACATTATTTACCTTATTGTCCTCATCTTTGTCACCATATTTATTATAATGCTTTGGCCGTTGTACACTCTGGCCTTCTTCAGCTGGTTGGAATGTTGAACTGAACCCTTTATTTCACTCACTGGGGTAGACTGTTCTAGTTCCACATACCATGTTTTTAATGAATGTCAGTTATCAGTTATCTCCTGTTAATTTCCCTCTGAAAGTCCTGCACTGCCTTAACTGGATATTGAAGTCACACTCTTTGGCTCCTGTCAGTGGATCTAACTAACGCCTTTATCCACTGTGCCATGTGTAAGTTCAATACCCGGTCTAAAGTCAGAATTTGACATATTCAGTGCATGATTTTTAGAAATTTCAAAAATCATAAATGTAAATTTTTAGAATTTTTCCATAATGATGGGTGAAATATATTTGTATTTTCATACCCATATTTTTGACTTTTGCAGGATGGTAAAGAGGAGGAAATAGTGCCATGAAATTTACAATCCCACAAAATTGTAAAGAACCAAATCAAGCGATTCTTCCAAATGTTGACCTGGCAAGAATGTGCCTGCTATCATGTATCCAGACCTTCTGTCATCCATCACTGCAGTGTCATACTGCCCTGATCTTCCTGTACCCACTCCACCAAAGAGAGAGAGCAGCTGTCTTCAAAAGAGAACAGCAATTCAGATTAAAGAGGTGCAATCAAGAGAAATCCATGCTACCCCAACCAAAAAGGCATCAACTTGATCAAAGGTCTTGGATGTTGAGACTCAAGCAGTGGAATTTGTTAGATGAAAGTGTGCAAGTCACAAGTCAGAGAAAGTGTCACCAATATTTTTCAAGCTTTTTCACTTGATAGGCTTTGCACCTGCCACAATGTAACCAATCTGTTCAAGGCAATTGGAATTACCAGTAACTCCAGCAAGTGGCGCCTCTTCATTGACAGCTCATTCAGGAGCCTCAAAATGAAGCTGCTTTGTAATGTGAACACATATCCATCTGTTCCCCTGGATGACTCAGTGCAGCTCAAAGAGGAATACAGCAGGGTCAAGATTTTGCTAGATGCCTTGAAATATGAAGAGCATGGTTGGAAGGTTAACAGAGACTTCAAAATGGTGGTCTTTCTGATGGATCTATCAGGCAGCTTAACTAAGTGTTCTGTGTTATCTTTGCTCTTGGGACAGCAGGGACACCATGGCACATTACCACACTGAGTTCAATGTAGAGAGGAACATCATCAAATGGGAACCATTGTTAGACCCTTGGAAAGTATTGTTTCCTCCACTGCACTTAAAATTGGTCCTTATGAAACAATTTCTCACAGCTCTAGATAAGGAGTTTGCATTCTTCAAGTACCTTCAAGACTTCTTGTCTAAGCTCTCAAAGGCAAGTCAAAGCCAGTGTCTTCATTGGACCACAACTAAAGATCATAGAGTGCAAGGAATTCCCAAAAAAACTCTCTAGGATGGAGAAAGCAGTATGGAACAGCTTTGTCACAGTAGTTCAGGGCTTCCTAGGAAATAATAAGGCTGAAAACTTTGTGGAGTTTGTTGAGAACCTGGTGAAGAACTATGGCAAAATGGACTGCAAGATGTCAAGTCCATATCCTTGACTCTCATCTTAAAAAATTCAACAACATGGGGACATACTTAGAAGACCAAGGTGAGCACTTTCACCAGGATATACTGGAATTTGAATGCAAGGATCATATAACAAAAACATGGTGGGCGACTATATTTGGCGACTGGTTTGTGAAAGTAATTTACTGTATAAGCATAAATTGCGAAAAACTACTCACTTCTAAATTTTTTGTAGTCTATCTTGTGTAATCCTAGAATAAATAAATACTACTTTTGAATCATATAGCTTTGCATGAACAAGAATTGTAAAACTGGCAAATGTGAATAAGTAAATTTCAGAAATATCATTATCCTGGTCACAAATACAAAATTTGAAGGAAATATTAGCCAGTTTTTCATACTTTCTAGACATAAGCAAATAGTTGTTACCCAAAGACAAAATCCGTGTTACACAGTGGCTACAAAAGGAAAATAATGATGATTATATCATCAAAGCACAGTATTTACCTTTTGCAGTCACTTCAAAAGTGCAGATTTTCTGGTCTGTTTCTCAGGTGCCAAATATAAAGGTATGGGGGTTTTAACAATCAAAGGTACAATTTTTCTCAATATGAAATAAAAATATGTGATACAAGATCATTTAAATCATAAAAAAGTGCAAAATTAATAAACAGAGTGGTCTTAATAAGATGGGTGGGGTCAGAAAATATCTTAGGTACCTCAACTGAGAGAGAATAATAAAGTTGGGGGCTCACCACAAAATTGGTTATTTGCAAAAACTTTATTCAAGTTTCAGAATAAATTAAGCAAACAGAATTGCAAGCATCCTGTGGTTAGGAATTTCCACAGTCTGGAAACTCAGATTAATTTAAAAAATAAATAGAAAAAGTAAAATGAAAAGAAAAAAAAAATGACACTGCATGAGTTTTGTTTGCATTGTTCTTGAATGATGACATCAGCAAATTGTGTAAATTAATACAATTGAATAAATGATACATCAGCATTTCTTAAATCCTTCCCATAATGCAATTAGTCACAGCTTTTATGAATACATTTTATGACTTAAGTACACAAACATACAAAAAAATCAGTTTAATTTGATTAAAGAAACAAATTAATCAAATTTTATAAATGTCTTACAATATCAATACTGTCATTTTTTTCAATATTGTATTAATCCTGTCATTATTTTGAATTTATTTGCACTGATGTGACTTAACTGATGTTGATTTTATAGAATACAAATAGAAAAAGTCTCTATGATATCAATATTAAAGAATTAACTCCTTCCCCGCCAATTATTATAACATTTCATTTTCAGACAATTTTTGTTTCTGATGTCATAAGTAAGAAACTGAGGCATCTTGAAGTACTTGTGCAATGGCTAACATCTCTACCAAACATCGGAGTTGACTATTGGACGTGTTTCAAGTTCAGAAGGTCATAAAAAGAATCAAGATCAAGGTATAAAGCTGGTTTTTGAACATTATGTTTTTGATATGTTTATTCGTCTGTGTCTGAAAAAGGCCCTTTGGGTAAAAATGTATATACACATCTATCCCAGGGAAGGGATAAAAAACTGCTTCATAAGAATGAATCAATGTGTGTGTCAACCTTAAAAACCAAGCTCCTTAGACAATTTCAAGAGAGAAAATGAAAGCAATTGCAACAAATATAACTATGAGCATTCTGAATTCTGAAGCCAAGACAATGTTATTCAATTCAGAAATATATAATTGGGAAGAGTTTTTATATTATACATGATCAAACAACTTTATTGATTGATTGATTGATTGATTGAGTGTGTGATTTGTTTTCTGCAGTTTATCCACCTTTTGCAGATTATTTAAAGCCAGAAAATATTTTTAGATCATAGGAATTTTTTTCAGATAATAACGATTTACTGACACAAGTCCAACTAATTAACCCATAACTGGGGGAAGAAGACGTTGATTCATACCTTTCTCTAATGATATTTGCATGAAAGTGAATCTGAGAGGAATTGGAACTTAGTTATCCAGTATGCCATGTACACATCCAAGCTTGAAGCACCTGGTATTCCCAAGCAGTCATCCATCTTGGTACTGATGAGGCTTGACATTGTTTAACTTTGGTGATCATACAAGAACCAGTGTTTCAACGTCATATAGCCATAAGTCCAAACAACTTTATGGGGAACTCTCAAATGTGTTGTGCATACTTACTGGATCTCAAGAATTTAAAATACTTTTTTCCTCAAAGGAAAAGATGGTGTCTACATTTTTTTCTGCTATATGGATGTCTGTAATTACTGTTTGTAACCATTTGGTGAAAGGCTATAATCTATCATATTATTAACCCTGCATTAGATACCTCAGATTCTGAAAATGGATAGTCCCCTAGCATCTGCTTCCCACAGCAACTGAGCTACACTCTGCCATACCGCATGATACACACTCTCACTGAATCAGGAGAGCAGAGGGAGGTAGAAAAAGAAACAAGTTCATAACTACATATTACAAGTACTTTAAAAATTTGGGGGTAACAAAATACCCCATGTGACTAATGCACCTTAGTATAAGAAGCTATCTGGGATAACTTTTATAGTCTTGGCACCCAGTTTAAGAGAAGGGCAACTCTAAATTCAAAATCAGCTAGGCCTGGGGCTAGCAACTCTACCCCATAAAACCCTACTGACTATGAGAACTGCAGCAACAACACCTACAAATTTGAGGCTGTGGACCACAAGTCCACAGGGTTAACAAGTTATATGAGATAACTTTTCAGGACTAATGAATTATTGTCATTATAACCTGCTTCAATTCATGCTTTGACACCATAGAAACTAAATTATGGCTCATCACATTCTACTATCATTAGTTAGAGGTAAGTAGGTAATCATATCTTATATCTGTAGTTGAGAAATTATTATTTTCTTTTAAGGATCTAAAGGATTTATTTTTCATTGAGCCTGAAATTTAAATTTGTCCAGTTTCAATGCCCAAAGACAGGCTTCTTGAAACTGGACATTCAATAATTTGGACTTCAGACCAGAAAAGGGCAAAAAAACCAATGAAACTGGCCTTATATTAAAAGTAACCATTTCTCAAATGTTCATTGAGAGAGATCACAATAAATATAGCACTTACATTGTATTTTACATAGCTAAGTAGTTAGAACATTTGCTTTCTGACCATGAGACTGGTTTCAATTTGACCATAGTCGATTTGTCAGGAAGGTGACTTCTTGATGTTACTGGCTTGGGGAGGTAATCCCAGTATGCAGCACCTTTGGAAAATGCCTCAAAATCATACCATGGGTTGATCCAAGCCTTGTGAGTAAAATTGGGTAGACTGAACTATTTGGGAGCTGTTAATGGTGGTCATTGTGTCTGAGAGTTTGAGGGTACGGGCCTTGTTCTGACTGTTGATCACACCAGATAATGCTCTCTTTCCCAGAAACTGTAACTAAGGTCTGCTCATTAAAGTTCTTTTTTTTTTTTTTTTTTTTTTTAAAATCAACCAATTCACCCCAAAGCAAGGTGATAATGCCACTAAAATGCAAGGGGTTACAGGGAGTGAAAGAGACTGAAAAAATTTTTAAAAGGAACTGGAAACCCAATCCTAAAGAGGAAACAAGAGATAATCCTCTACTCCTGTTCAAAAAAAACTTGTGGAGGAGTGTAAACCGGGTGATAGGTGAACTACTTCTTATTAAAGTTTTTACAGTGGAAACCATGGTGCAATTATACCACTTTTTACCTTTGGTCAGTTTTGCTTGATGGAAAGTTTTTAAGTTTATGTATATACTTGTTTACTTTTATGGTCAAAAAGTAAAAAAAATGACATTTAAATCATTTTGTTATATTTTTTGGTAATAATAAACTGAGACTGCTCCATTAGCTTTGTTGCATGCAAGAAAGAAATCTAATTCTTAAATTATTCAAAACAAAAGCTAATTCAAAACAAAAGAAATAAAAAGTCTACATACTAATGAAATATTCCATTCTTATGGCAACATCAGAATGTTTACCTGTAATATCCTGTTACCATAACAATGAATTAAGTCATAAGTAATGTGAACAGGTTGCATGATTGATAAAATATACACAGTGAGATTGTGTTTTTATATTAGAGAATAAATTGAATAAATTACATTGACTGACCACTGGAAGAAAAGGCTAAAAATTTGGCATATCGTAAAATGTCTAGGTTTATTAATTACAGAGGTGATTCTGAAAGTTAATTCATTGTTACCCATCTCAATAAATTACTTGCTGAACTATTTTCCTCATAACACAGTTTATTTTACTGAATATCCTCATCTTTGGTGTTTTGATCACATTTTAGCTGATATGTTCTTCAGACTTTCCCAGGTCTAGTTTCTCAGCACTTTTAACCACATCAAAAGGAATGCAGTTTCAAATTCAAAAATCCAAATGATAACATCTTAATCATATGAAAACCTGTAATAAAAACAAAAAAGAATAGGATACACGTTCTTAAAACAAAGTTGTTAGAAAATTACTTAAAAAACATTTTTCTAGGTATTTCTTTCATATTTTATTACTATTATTACAACATGGTCTTTCTGATATGTATCTTTATTGTTTTGATCACAAGGTTGTGGACAATGGGCTCTTTTGAATCTTCCCTGTGCTCTTTATAATAAAGAGGTCAAAATTCAAAGGATTAAATCCAGATATGGATGCCCTTGAAATGTTAGCCTCAAGTTCAATATCAAACTGCTTACTTTTGATGATTTAAGACAAGGTGAAAATGCTAAAAGAACACTGATTTTTTCCCCTTTTTTCTGAACAAAATTTACAAGCACCTATATGTAAGCCCATGAGAAAACTGTAAAATTATTCATATTCTGGAGAACTTTTAAGCCATTCCCCCCAAAAAACTGATTTCAAACAAGAATAAAGATCCCTTTTAGTAAGTCTGTGTGGGGAAAAAACAGCAATGATAATTTTGAAGAAATAACTTAGAATTCCTTAATTTGTTCCAAGAAACTTCCAAACCTCACTTTAAATCTGACTCTGGTTATAAATCCAATTCCAGACGAAACTCTGATTTGGGCCAAAATTACAATTCAAACTGAAACTAAAGTTCTTCAAATCACAAACTCCATGGAACTTCAAATGAGTTGAGTTCTTCAAATCACAAACTCTGTAGGACTTCAAAACCTCATGTCACGAAACCTATAACTCTGACTTATTCAAATTTTTAAGAAATAAAATCGATTTCCACAGTTCAAAGTCTGAGATATTTTAAACTGAATTTAAAACAAAACATTTTTCAATTCATAAAGTTTTTGTGTTAATTTAAACTCAATATAAAATAAAAATTTTAAAAATCACTAATTTTTTACAGTTATTTTAAAATTTGATTTTTTAACTGTTCCATCCTTATCCAGACACAAATCCCAATGCTGTATTTTCAATTACCAGATGAAGGGCAGATTTTCCAAAAAGGTATAATATGTTCATGTAGAGTGAGTATAGCGTGAGTTAGAGAGGTTTCAGACACACAGACGGACAGAATTTGCTGTTTATTTATTTAGATAGGTAGAGAGATAGATGTGTATACAGCATACTTACTACCAATCTGTATCTCACTTTTGCAATTCTGAGACAAAGAAATAATGTCCTCTGAAGCCTGTGTTTCATATGGTAAATTTTTGCAAGCCTTTGGAGACATTTATCAAAGAATTCAAAGATAGTAGATGTCTATTTTTAATGGATGAAAGTTGTACTAATGAATTATTATGATATGACATCAACTTATCTGGTAGGATGAGTGGATAACATAACAGCTATCAGTGTGGGAAGTGGAATTGGTGAGCAGTGTGCAAATTCTATCCTAGTCTGCTATGTTCACTTTTGTACCTTGGAAAAGGCAAGAATCCTTCTCTTCACCCTCCAGCTAGAGGTTCAATAACTGGTTAAACTATGATCTCTAGCCTTGAGAAGAGGCCAGTCTAAAAGGCCAAATACTATGAATTAAAAACTGCAGAGAAGGCAAAGGGAAACCACTTTCCTATTTTTCTTAAGAGGTTATGGCAACTTGCCGATAAATAAAGAAAGAGGAATCTGCAGAGAGTGGTGGCTATTCTTGAATAGAAAATATTTACTTTTTTCCCCACCAGTGCCAGAAGTCAGTGTTCAAGCTCAGGTGAAAGTCATGCACCCAAACACCGATTTTCAAAGCAGACATCTCCTCTTGAACTGCAAGAATTGTTTCAATCTTCCAATCCATTCCTTTTAACACATTTTGTATCGAACGAAGCAAAGTTTAAAAATTAAAGATTGATTTATCAACTGTCAAAGCAAGTCTGACACAAAAATATTAAGTTGTGGGAGCATCCAATAGGTGGGAAAAAAAAGAAGCCACCCTCGCAGTCTTGAGAGAAGAGTGTAATACCAATTTGTAAAGCGAAGGGGAGGGGTTCTCAAGGTGATGATAAAAGATGGCTGAAAAGAATTGGAATAGGTCTTTATTTATAAACTAAAGAGGATAATCTGAAATAAAGAATTTACCCATGCCCTCTCCCTATTGTAATGATCACACCTTTTTTGTGATGTATGTGGGAGGGACAGAAAGGATAGAAATGCCATAAGGTATGAATTAATGACTTATTTGCAGAGACATGAATGTGTCAGACAAAATAACACCATCAAGAAAGAAGATTACAAATAAATGCACACACACTTATCTGAGTGGACAGCAATTTATTTTAAAATCTTCAAACACTGCAACAGACTATCTGATACTCATAATAATAACGTAGTTTTGTCTGATGCACATAATGTATCTAATAATGTAGGTTTACCTGATACACACAGTGCATCTAATAACATAGGTTTATCTGATATGAATAATGTATTTAATTACGTTGGTTTATCTGATAAAATGTATTTAATAATGTCAGTTTATTTGGATACATCACGTATCATACAAGATATTTTTCTTTGATACCTATAATGTATCTAATAATGTATTAAATAATGTAGTTTTATTCTGATATTCATGATGTAGCTAATCACATGGGTTTATCTGATATTTATGATGCAGCTAATAATGTTGGTTTATCTGATACTCAGGATGTATATAATAATGTAGGTTTATCTGATATCACTGATGTACATAATAACTTACCAACATTAGG